TTCTGGCTACAAATTGAAGCAGTGTCAGTGCGTAGTATAGAGCTAAAGCAATCAGACAAACACTGCCCAAGTAACAAAGGTAATGATCAGCATCTCCTCGCTCTGAATACAGAACTGCAACTAGCTATCTTCCAAACCACTCTGCATCCGAGAATCCCTTCTCCTCTTCCTCTTCCTTCTCCTGGTTTTTTTGGTGAATTTTACGTTATTTTTACGGAATTAACGAGCCGTAACTGTTACGTATACGCTTTTTCGATCAACAAGAGGGAGTGTTTTTGATTTGTAAATGCTTAATTAACTTAGAAAATTAGATAGGAAGATAATCTGGAATGTAAACAAGTGTCGAGTGATCTGTGGAGTTTCTGTTGACTGCAATGATTCTTTAATCATTCCAGTCAACAGAAAGAGTATTTTTATGAGAATCTTATCTTTGTTAATATATTTGAAAGACGAATTTGTAAGTAATGTATACTTTCACTTGTCTAAGGAGGAGGAAATCTGTGTTTAGGAAAATGAAGAGGTTTAGAAAAACCTAAATTTCTCTAAAGATAATTTACTTATCCACTCCAAAATTTGATTTTAAAATTATAAAAGTATTCTAAATTATAAAAAAGTAATTTAATGTTATTTATAATTACTAATCATTGGGAAATTACTCGATTAATTATGTTAAAATTAATTGAAATTTAATATTTTGTACTAAATTTTTGTTTATTTTTCTGCCCAAATGCTTATAACTATCATAAAATAAGACAATATCGATATCACTCTTTAAGAAATTAAGTAAAAAAGTTAACTTTCTCTACTTCTGCACAACAGTCTTCATCGTCGAGTCTATAAAATTAGCTGCATTTTAAGAAAAAAATAAGAAATCATTTAATATATAAAAAACATTAAAAAATTCGCCCGTTAATAGCGGAATTTTGAAGAAAAAGAGCCATTTTTAAAGAGAAACAAGAGAAATAAACCATATAAAGACGAGAATAACAGCAGCGTAAGCACGTTATCTAGGCTGGAGGATGAGGAGCGAGAGAGAGAGAGAGAGAGAGAGAGAGAGAGAGAGAGGATGCTATCTAAGCAAGAAAAAGGGCATAAAAATGTAGTAAATGACCAATTATCAATTATCAAATTAAGAAGTTAGCATGAAAGTTGCAGTCAAATTGCCGAAAACATGGAGAAAATAAGGAAATTTCAAAGTGTGTACCTATTTTGGAGCTCGTTACAGAGCATCATCATCAAACGATAAGGAGTTTCAATCAATACGCGATTTCTTTCAAACGGAATCAATTCGGTAGCTACAACCTGGTAATGATGGCGAGTGGGTTTTTTGCAAGGCAAGGAGGAGAGAGAGAGTCCGGAGGAGGTGGACCCCCTCATATCCTGATGCGCATCCTGTTCTTCAACCATCGTTGCAGCTAATAAATGGTGCGAGTGGATGGCTCGGATGGGACGGATCTTTCCACAATACGGCACAGCTCCGGGCAATCTTCTTCCTAATCTCTGCTACAAATCTAGGTAATAATGGAAGCTGCTATCTTCCAGCTATCGTCACCTGAAGACGATAACTTGAACGAGCTTCGATGGAAATAAACTCGGGGATTGAATGAGATTTTTTGCTCAATATCCAACTCAGACCTTACTTGGCTTTATCGATTTTTTAGAAACAATGCCTTTTTCCCCTTTAATTTTCTTTCCTTCTTATCTTAGCAGTTGAAGTTTTTAGCTTTCCTGCTTATCCTTCCTTTATTTTTCACCCGTGAGATAATCTCGTTGGATGTTTCGTCTACAAAAATAAAGGTTTCGTGCTCCTATCTCTCCAGATATGTCTGTTTCCTCCCAATTTCTCTTCTTGTTTCTCCACTCCTCCGCATCCTCGCCTTCTTAAAATTATTTAGCATCATCTTTATCACCGCTTCATTTTTCTCCTAATAATCTTAATCTTTTCTCGCGTCTTTCTACTCTTGAATTCCTATTATTTATTCCTCTACGTAAACTGATTATCTTCTTCCTCATCCTCGTATTTTCAAAGTTATTTAACATCCTTTTCATTTCATTCGTCTGGAGCACCATCACTTCATCTTAACAATCATTTTAATTTTACCTTTCTCTCATACATTCTGATTTTAAAACTTCATCTTCTTTATCTTAATTAATTTATCTTAAAATAAAATTATTTTATACAAAATTTTGTAATTTTTCAGCGTTTTATAAACATTTTCACTATTGAAATTGATGAGTTAATTATTTTAGCGAAAATTTATTTATCCTGCGTATGAATTATACCTTCTGAAACTAAAATATTTCGATTTTATTCAGTTCGAAGACTTCAATACTCGTAGAATCTCGTCCAGAGACGATCTCAGATTCGATTTCCATATCCAGAAGCTGCACTTTCACCATTCGACTTATCTTCAAAAATGTTTGGTAGACAATTTTGTAGTCCCATTCGCTATCGAGAATTAAATCTCGTTTTTTCTATAAAATACAAACTTTTTTAAAAACTTTATTCATAAAAAATACAATTTAAAATTCTATAATAATTTATCTCCATCTCTTTATAAGTCACAAGTTCTGAAAGTCTTACGGATATTCATCTTATGACCGCTTTTCTATCTTCAATTTTGCTAATTTAAATGCTAATTTTTGCTCTTTATACCGTTTAAAATGTTAAAAAATATATTTATAAGGTGAAAATCAACGATTTTTTAGTTTAAACATCATTAATAAAGCTGGAACTTATCGAAATTTGTCATGGAATAGCCGAACATAGAATCGTTTCTTCGTAATGAACGTGTAATCTATTTTTCGCAGAGAGTATTGACAGGATAGAAGAGCATCTGTCCTTCTCCAGCTTCCATTTATCTGCTTCCAATCTTCTAGCACAAGATATCCTCCGACAGAGACTGGAGGAACGGGAAGTGCGCCTCATTGGATTTCCCAGACGTTTCCGCCTTCACCCCTTTAATGCCATAACTCCATTTCCACTAGGCTTCCATTAAGACGTCAATTCTCCATCCTCATACATCCTCCGCATCTTTTTGAAGGATGAAATAAACATAGAAACGTCCCAATTCGTCCATAAAGATTAAAAATTAGATAGGAAGATGTAATGTGCAGTCTCCCACGAAATAACCTAACAAAGTTGTTCTTTTAATCCCGAATGTGTGAGCACACTTGTGTAACTGTTGGTGCAAAAAATCGCTGTGTGGGGGAGTAAGGGATTTATACGAGTGGTCAGGATCTCCCCAGCGTAGAGAAGGGACACGTGTTAGGGATTCTCTCCTGGCTAATCTATTAGCGACGGTGAGGACGATCTAGACGATGACACCGTATCTAAAGCTCTCGATTTTTGGGATGTAAACGGGAACAACTAATGGACGAACTTGATTAATGGACGTTTGAGCAGCTGACTTATGCACTGCGGTAAGTTCTGCTTATTTCAATGGACTCTTAATGTACAAGATGAAGCTATTGTGCCTTTTTCAATGGGGACTGCAAAATATAATAGTTGGAGAAAGTCTAGTCTTGTTTAACTTCCTCTATATGTGCCTACTTAAAGCCGATTCTTTCCTCTCTAGCTCTTTCTCTCTCTCATCTCTCTCTCTCGTTTTCTCATCTTCTCCAAAATTATAATGACTTGAAAGGTTAAATTTAATTGGAAGATTTAAAAAAATCGTGTTAGCATTCTGCTTTATTGCAAAAAAATTTTTTTTCTTCTAAAACTGCTAGAAAATTATAATTAAAAAATTAAGTAAACATCGTTTTGTAATTTATAAACAAATATAATCGTTTTTAAATCGAAAAATGTTTTATTTATCGAAGAAAAGATGGATTAAATTCGGTTCACAGTAGATTTTAACATCGATAATTTGATATAAAAATGTAAATTTATGCTATACGGTAATAATTCTCGCTTCCTAATGTGTTTAAAGCGTAATTAATTTGAATTAAGACGTCACAATAGATAATTATTATGACAAAAACACAAAAGTTTCCCTCTAATAATTTTTGATTCACATTGAAGTTAGTTAAATGAGAATTTTTATAAATTTCAAGTTATATAAGTTATAAATAGATGAATTATTTACGTTTCCGATAATTAAAAAACACAAATTAATACTCATTTTCCACAGAAAATGAAGATTAAAATGCAAACTAAGCTTCATTTTTGTGAAAAATAAGGATTAATTCACTCAAGGAGTAAAGTTAAATTTTCATATTTTTATTTCATTTTCTCGTATTTATAAAAACATTAAACATTAATCACTTAAAATTTAACCTTATAAAGGATTTACTTCACGCAATTTCATTAATAACGCGTACAGAATTACACGAATAAAGACCATTCGCTTAACGGCGTAGAGCTGAGTTGGGCTTCCCCGCATAACGCAGGCATTGGAGGAAAAGAGAACTTTACAGGGGCAAACTCCATCGCGTTAGCATCTTAAAAACCGAAAACGGGGTGGATTTTAATTGCCCAACAAGCAACGAGCCAGCAGACGAAGAGATTTAATTAGAATGGAGTATAAAGCGGCGGACGGACGCAATTAAGGAGGCAGAGGATAAAAAAAGCGATTAGGTAGTGGTCCGGGCGGGAGTGGAGTATTTACGTACGGTTGTAAGCGAGAAATGATTAAGCGGGTCGAGTCAAAGCCGCACACACTCATATATTCAGCGCACTTCCGACCTATCAAGAAGAAAGACAGGCAGGCAGAGTCGCTCTTTTCATTGAGGAAACGATGTGTTCCGACTTCCTGTGACTTCTTAGTTTGTTTCCGTCCTGTGACAAGTGGAGAGGAAGTGTGTGTTTCTTCCGACTGGAAATAAGCATAATTCATTAGCCAGTGCGGGTCGACTGCCATTGGTTGCCTGCCTTCACTCCACATAGGTCGCTGGCCCATAAATCGGAGACGTCGCTGATTGGTCGGAGGACGGCTCGCGCCGCTAAGCTCGGACCAGATGCGCCGCGCGGACAACATTATCGGCGTCGAAGTGTGAAGCGACGGCAGCGGGAATCTCCGCCGAAATGTCGTGTTGAAGCTTAGAATCGAGCCCCAGGCCGAAACGACCCCCGAATTAAATGCCGCTATTGGGCGGCCCCTAGCGGAATTTGGGCACAGGACAGCTTGGTTGCCCGTCACCGTGGCTCGAGACTGTCCCCACCAACTCCCGTGCAGATACGGGACTGCCGACGTCTACAGGCTTTGGATGCAAGGCGGGAAGGCTGCCGACTTTTCGCCTTACAACAACGGATCTCCCGTCGCCAATTTGCCCATGCTCTTCACCGGTAACGTAGCCTTTTTTTTCTCCTTTCTCTACTCTTCCTCGATTTAACAAATTTTTTTCCAAACTCTTGCGCTTCCTCCAGCCTTAAATCGCGACTTAAAATATTCCACTCCTCTTTCTCTTTATCCAATCTTTTTAGCTTATCCCCAATCTTTCGGGATTTCTTCCTAGATCTTTTCTTTTATCCGGCTGAAATTGCCTTCAAAAAGTCTCTAATTTTCCCATGCTCTTCACCGATAACGTAACCTTTTTTCCTTTTTTCCTCCTTCCTCTATTCTTCCTCGATTTAACGAATTTTTCCCATACTCTTGCGCTTTCTCCAACCTTAGATCGCGACTTAAAATATTCCTCTCCTCTTTCTCTGTATCCAATTTTTTTTTAGTTAAATCCTTAATCTTTCCTTAATCCTTTCTCTTATCCGGCTGAAATTGGCTTCAAAAAGTCTGTCTAATTTGCCAATGCTCTTCACCGATAACATAGCCTTTTTTCCTCTATTCCTTTTCGATTTAACGAATTTTTCCCCTCCTCCTCTCGCGCTTCCTCCAGCCTTAAATCGCATCTTAAAATATTCATCTCCAACTTTATAGCTTATTCCGATCTTTCGGGATTTCTTCCTTGATCTTTTCTGTTATCCGGCTGAAATTGTCTTCAAAAAGTCAATCTGTCTAACCTTCTGACATGAAAAAAGCTTTATACGGATGTTATATACGTTTAAAAGGTTTAAAATTAAGGTTAAGGTAAGGTAAGGTAAGGTAAATTAATTTATAGAAAAATTTATCAAATCCTTACAAATTAATTTGTACAAGTTATATAAGGATCCATTTAAATTATACATTTATCTAAATCACAATTTCAGCTCAATTATTTTATTTATAGGACTGTAAATGCCTAAAAATGTATCCTGATCTTCTAAAATTTTTCTAATTGTATAAATTATCAACTATTTAAAAATGATTTTCATCCTTTAAATTTTTTATTAAATTATGTATAAAAGTTACTTAATGATAAAATATTTTGATTTTACAATTACAAATTAAGTTTCTGTAATTTTTTATCTTATATTTTTATCCAAATTAATCTTAAATGTTCACTTTAAACATCTTTAAAATGTTTAAAACTATATCTTAAGTTACTTAAATCGTTTGAGTAATTGTCGAATTAAACTGTAAATTTTACAAAAAATTTTAATTGTAACCATTAAATTAATAAAAATATAAAGTTTTTAATGCTTTAAAAGTAATTTTTTAATAATTTTTTATACTAAAGTTATACAATATTTTAAAAATTTGAAGTATCTAATGTTGTATTCCATCTACGTGAATAAATAGTTTAAGCTTGTTTAAAATATCAGAAAATATTAATTTATAATTATTAATTAGGCACAAATATATAAAATATCGTTAATTTTATATATAAATTTAAATATTATCGAATAAAAATATTAGAGCCATCTTACAAAGGAGCTTGGGGATCTCCATCTCCTAGCCAGACACAAGGTAACTTAACAATTATTTCGTTATTTAAAATTATACTTTTCTAAATTCCAGAAAATTAAAATCTATATTGTCTTACATAATACATAACAAAGTTGAATATTAAATTATATTAAATTTCGAAATTTTATTTAAAATCGTTTAAAAGTAAATGAAAGAAAATAACATCTCGCTCCTGTAAAGATGTCTTTGCCTCAAGTACAAGTACCATGCAGGAAAGAAACGGAAAGGGGCTAAATGACTTTTTTATATTTTTTTTCGTGTTTTTCATTACTTTCCTCTTCTAATTTTGCTACTAATGGAAACTTAACATAATTTTAGATATATAAATACCTCGTATAATAGGATTTTATACGTTAATCGTGATAAACGGCCGTACAATCTTCGATGAAAGATGCGGTGGAATGAGGGATCAAATCGGGGATTAACGACCAATTTAGGTGATCGCGTTAATATTGATACAACCCTGCGACGGTAAATTGGCCCGTTAACGTTACCTCCATCGGCTCACGTGACTTAGTTCGGGTTTTTAAAACACGAAAACGTCCGTACAAAACCCGCTCGCCTAGTCATTTCCGATTCTGTAAATCTAATTTTCCAGTCAACTTTGCGTTGTTACCTTTTTACTCCAGGTTAGGGTCGATCTGTGACTCTCTCTCTCTCTCTCTCATTACGCCAAATATTCGAAGTTGCTTCGCTTCCCCCTCTCCGCTCTTTCTCTCTCTCTCTCTCTCTCTCACTTCATCCCCCGGTCCAGCATCCATCCCCCTCACTTCCAAATGGAAAATGAATATTTTCCGATGATAGTTTGTTTTTTATGAGGAAATTTTGATTTGAAAGTCGATTGGTTCTTTCAGAATAATTGATGGAAAAATTGTTTCTCCATCGGAATTTCACCAAAACTGTTTTGTTTCTGCTTGATTCAATTATGTCGTAATTTTACAATTTTATTCTCCTTTTTTTTGTGATTTTTAAACGCGTGTTGCTCCAGAGAATTTATCCGAAATTTTCAACCAATTTTCTATTTTAAAATAATTATTAAAGCGGAACAATCAATAATTATAAAGTGAAAATCTTTCCTAATTTTTCTCGTCATCATCCTGTCACAGTTTAACATCTCGTCAGCACCTTAAGAGACTAACAAATTATCCTATTTTATAATTTATAGAAGCAGTAAATTATATAATTTAACGAAAATTATATACTTTTCTAACTTCTTAATTTTATTTTTCCACTTTTTATATTCTATATTACTAATGTCTTACTATCTTCCGATGTATACTTGTTCGTTCTTTTCGATTTTCTGATTAAATTTATAAAGTTCCTCTACATAATTTTTAATTTTTACACTTTAAAAATGCTATAAATTCTCTTGTTTATTAAAATAATTTAGTATTTTTAAACAATATTTCCATTTTTTAAACTCTAAATTTAATAAACGATCTCATTTTGATTCGTGTTTATCGTCCATTTTCTTGTATTTTATCAATGATTTTTCTGTTTTATGCTTGTTATATTTATGAATATTTCTCCTTTTCTTCTTTCGTTACTAAATACGGTTCCTCTTTACTAATTTTTTATGAAACAATTATTTTTAGATCGCATCTTATGAGAAAGAAGATGAAGATGATTTTCTAAACTAATGATAGGGTTGTGAGAGGGATTTAAATATATATCTTTATGGAAATTTTATCATAATTATCTTAATTTCTAATTTTAAACTTTGTAAATAAGTTTATTATCCTTTAATTTTTTAATTTAAGTAAAGATTATCGTACTTAATCTTGAATTTTTTCCAAAATTCGTATGACTTTTAACCAAATTTTGGCCAATGATTTCTTCGTCCTTCTCTTTAACACATAGTTTATTTATTTTTAATTTTTGTTAAAAATTTGATATTTTGAATGTAAATAATTTTTAATTAAATATTTAACTTATAAATTTTATAATAAATTAATTCTCTTAAACAACAGAACTAAATTAATTTAAATATTGCTTCTATCATCCTCTATTTCCTGCATCTTTATATTAGCATCTTCGGAATTTACATCTTCTACATCTAAATTTATTACAAAATCGTGAATATCTTTAAATAAATTTATCCTTTCTATCAATTTTGAGTAAATTTAAAGTCATTTATGCTCCCTAAATCCTTCAAACGGGGCCATTTTTTCGTTTTAAAATAGTTTAAATAGTTTATTTTCTTATATATTAACGAAAGCCTGTAGCTTATATATGCTCATATCACAAGGAAAATGACAAAAGATCTATATTTTTTACAACCTAAATTTATAATTTTTTGGTCTTGACCCTTTCTAAACTTCATTGTCTTTAAATTAGATTGAAATATTTAAACATTTATTAAATATTTCTCTTCCAGACACCCTTACATCTCTGGAAAACCGATTTCATTACGACAGTGGTTTAGAAAAATAGGATTATTTAGGATTTAAACATAATTTTAAAGGCCTAGAGCCTATCCTTGCGTAAATCACACATCGGATAATAAAATTTGCACATTTTAGGAGCCATATTTATCTAGTTTTAAGCATACAGATGGCCAATTAGAGTAACGTATCAATAACTAATTTTGTATTCAAATAGCACACCCATTCTCTAATTTTAAACACAAAAGTAATGGTTATAAAGTTGCATTATTCTCTAATTTTAAATAATGAAATAACACTTCAATCTCTAATTTAACTGTTTAAATTACTATTTGAAATATTCTATCATCCTTTATTTTTAAGCATTCTCTGTTACTTGGAAGCATCATCTTAACAGTATCTTTAATCACATTATCACTTAGAGCAGTATCTTGCGCTATAGCTTTAATAGTTTAAACTAGAATAATCTTTAATTTTAAACGTTTTTTTTTCTAAACAATTAGCAGTAAATTCTTTAGATATAACGATTTAAACTACTGCTTATCCTCTGATTTTCAGCACTCTTTTACTTACAGCAGTATCTGTAACTGCTAATTTTTACTTAGAGCATCGTTTTTAAGAATATTTACTCAAATAAATACGAGAAACAGCATTAAAATCCTTAATTTAAAGCATTTAAACATGAAGAAGGAACATCGCATCCTTCTCTAATTACGAGCTAATTAGAAGCAGACAATTCTCTATTTTACAGCATCCGAAAGATCACCGGGATCATCTTTCGAATTTCGATTATTAAAGGCATTATTCTATGCATTTTAAGCATCCAGACAGCACACGAAACGGCTTTTTGAGTCATCCAAACGTCACACTGAACTGTGTTTATATACACGACCACAAATTACACTTAGTAACATCCCGTCCAAGGCACGACGCCATTTTTGGAAGGTAGAACATAGATCACACCAATGTTTCCTCGGAGGTTACGTCACGTAACTTTCCCGTAGGCCGCATCGCACGTGCTAAACACTCATAAAGTGACTTCCTGGCCTAAAAGCTAGTGTTGGGAGAGGCAAAGTGCAGTCGTAGGTACACCTTTGGACGCTCACGCCATCCTACTTAGTCCATAATTGTTGTAGTCATTAGTTGGGGGGAAAATCGGGGGATCTTCGTGTAAATACTCTCCCTTCCCCCCTATCTACGGTGGGGACCAACCTGCACGCGCTTTCTCTCTCTCTCTCTCTCTACCTGTTATCATTATATATTATTTTTTTTCTCTTCCTCCTCCTCTCTTTTCCCTCTCTAAATGACTTTTTCTCTCAATGGATTTTTGTTATCAATTGGGCCTCTGGCTTCGCTAATCTCGATATTAACCGTTGGCCCACCGAAATTTTAGTTAATTAGGAGTTTCGTCACGGATTCTACGTCTTTGCGTATCGTTGGTGATGCTCTCGATCACTTCAAATTCATTAATTTGTTCGTCCTTGACAGTTTTTTTTATTTTTTTGGTGTATTTTTGCTTTAAATGGAGGGTTTTAGTTAATTTAAGCGGTGTTTATGATTTTCTTTTTTAATTTTATGCAAATTTATATAATAAAATTATAATTTCTTTTGATTTATATAATAACATCGTGATTTTCAATGCAATTTTCTTTAAGAAATAATGCTCTACATAAAAGATCATCAAGAATTATCGGAAAATTCTTTATTTTCTCACGTAAAATTGCTAAAATTTTTCAAATTTTTATATTTTTTATATGAAATTCTTCGATTTTTCTTAATTTTTTCCTCTGAAACGCGATATTTTAAACAAATTTCCATTAATTCTCCTTTATTTCTATGCATATTTTCTCATACTTCCCATCAAAAATATCCTCATATTTATCTGAAATTTCTTCAATTCTTAAAAAGATTTTAGATCATTTTCCTTTATAAATCATTCGACAAATCGAACAGATTTACAAACAAACGGGACTTAAAACTTTGGAGAAATTCTACACCCCAAAATTCATCGAGAGAGAAATTCAATTCGGTTATTTGGCAGGACTCATAAAGAGGAAAATTCTCAACAAATTAGGTCATTTACAAATGTACAAACCATCTTCAAAGTCGTTAATGCATCAGATGCACAGATGATGGAGCGAGAGAGAGGGATGCTGCAGGATGCGGGAGGGAGCATCTCTCTCTCTTTCTCTCGTTTCTCTTTCACGGCCTTTTGTATGGATAGGACTTTAATCAAGTCAACAAGTCAAGTAAAGCAACAGAAATTTGTGTAGAGAATCGTTAACTAAGCATTAAAAGTACCTCTATCATCATCAAAGCAATAGCCAACGAGTCTGGTCCAGTTAACACGATGAATGAACGTTTTCTCTAGGATAAGATAAGCTTGGTTATTGACCAGACTGCAGCCATTACCGATGACCCCCCCTTTGTAGTAATTAACCAATGGTGGAGGAGAAGTCGCGTCACAACTTCTGATGAATGTCCCTTCTTAACAACCTGAGCATCTCTCTTGTAATTAGAGGAACATCATCCGTGAATGGAGATTGTTCGCCTTTAGAATGGCCACGATTATCTGATTATTTTATTTATGGATTAGTTGACGTTTCTCTATGTGTT